ACACATGAAACATGAAAATATAGTTTTATTTACAAAAAAAAAAAAGATTTTTTAGAAAAATTAACAATTAATACCAATTTGATGTGGTGCTTGTTTTTCCATTCTTGTGATACTTCACTTGGTAGAATGGGCTCCACCTCTATGCAAGATAATGCAAGAGATGCCAGATCACCATTGTGTTTTGTGCACATGTAGTAGTAACATTCATTGGGTGTCCAGTGGGGCGGGGGAGGAGGGGATGGATATATTCACACCTAATGGGTACTAATGGGTACAGGGCCCATCATCTGGGGGCTGGACACGCTTGAAGCTCTGACTCCAGCAGGACAAAGGCAATATACATAACCTAAACATTTGTACCCGCGTAATATGCTGGAATAAAAAAATATTAAGAACAAGGAAAAATATATCTTGAACAACACCACCGCCAACCTGATTTCCTACCTCTCCCTCAGAGGAAGCCACCATTATAGATTGTTGTCTGTAGTTTTAATTTGCATTTTCATTTACATGTAGTAGGTATGTATTTATACTATTCACAGTGTTGTGTACATGTTTTTATATAAATAGTATCATGATGTACATGTCATTTTTAATTGTCTTTTATAAATCAATATAGAATTATTTCAATGTTAATACGTACAAATCAGACTAATTCTCTTTAGTGGTTACATAATATTCCATAAAATGGATCTATGGGTTTATTCAGAGCTTGAATACTAATTGTTCTGTAATTGTTTTTGTTTTACAGTTATAAATAATAATGTTAGCATTTGGTAGTTTTGTTTTTTCTCTTTCTTCTGCCAGTGGCTGTCAATTACACAAAGTCACTTTGTTCTTCATTTTAAAAAGGGAGCCATTAAACAGGGATATACTCTCAATATAGTAGGGCTCTAAGTTGAAAGACCACATGAATTATTTATTCTCCAGACCATTTTTCTCAGCTCCAGCAACCCAAGACATACCCTTAAATGGTAAAGACAATTTCCTCAAGACAATTTCCTCAACAAGCTTGAAATGCCCAGTGTTGAAATGAAGCAAACCTCTGATTTATATGACATGAAGCCTTTCTACTTGGATAAAAATAATAGCTCTGCAACTTGCCAGAGTTAATGCAGGATAACATCAACCTGACTATTGGGCATATTGTTTAATTATGAAGTTGCAACTGTGTGTGCATGTGAACGCACCCGTGTGCTTCCATGCCTATGCATAAGTGCTCACGTGTGCTGAGTGAGCAAATGAAGCAAGAAAAGCCAAGTGTTATTCCTTTAAGCGATATGTGTGCATATTTATTTTAAGGAAGGAGTTATTGATCAATGTCATACCCAGAGACTGAAAAGTAGACCTGTAAAATTTTTGAATGCAACTCAAAGCCCCTTCATAAATAGCCAACATTTCTGGGACACTATGTACACATTATGTGAAGCGTTTTAAATTCACTGGACCCAAATGAAGTCCTGCAAAGAAGACATAATTATCCCCATTTTAGAGTTGCAAAAACTGAGGCCAGATGAGATGAAATAATTAATGAAGCCTTTATTTTTTATCACAAAGTGACAAAATCTTGTGGCCATGCCTGTGGTACCTATCAAGCATCAATTTTCCCCTTGTCATCTTGTTGAACTGCATTCAAATGGAAATTGGCTACAGTAACCAAAAAATTGTTGAATATGCAACCTGTGCTCCTGCCACATGTTGGCATAAACATCCCAGGTCTCATTGCCACGTAGCCATGCATTCTTAGTTTCCAGGAATAAATCGTGTGGGTCTCTTGTCCAGATACCTACAAGGGGGCCCTCAGGATTATTCCTGCCACACATGCTGAGTATGGCACCCAAGGGGTAGATGGACAATCACAGTATAACTGATTGAAAAAACAATTGTGAATCCTAGTTATATAAAAGACTGTGGCTTCTATAGTGGGGATTATGGAGAATTTGGGTATTCAGAGAAAAATAGTTCCCCAAGCTTTTCCAAATTTTAACTCATCAGTATCACCACTACAAATAAAATTTCCCATAAATTGCAATATGATGTAACTGGAAAAGTATGGAGCCCTTTCAAATCCTTAACAAGAGGGTATAGTGATGGGAAAAAAAAAAAAAGGATAAATCAGGACCAATAAAGTCACATTGAAATGAGAAAATTAAGCAATTGGTGAGGTTCACTCATTAGCTGTGTAATTCATTCTCACAAAGCATAGAAATCATGCTTCAGCAAAATTATGAATTACCAGAGTCATCAAATTTTGAGGTCATCTCCAAATGGCGAAATATAGCTATCAGTGCCAGCATCACATTCATGCATTGCTTCAATCGTGTATCCAACAAAAGTTTTAGCAGCTGCAGGGTTTCCAGTGATGAATAAAACTCAGCCCTAAATGCGATGAGATTCTTGTCTAGAAGCTTCTACCATAGAGGACTTCACTTAATAACATCATAGAAGATGTGGATCCCTTCCCACAACATTTAAACATGGACATAAGCAAAAGCTGTAGAATGAAATATAGGCTTCTGGATATTCTACCTGTCAGAAAGCTCCACAAAGAGGGAATTGGGCTGTTTCTCTATTGCAGTTTCTCCCAGGAACACCTACCCACACAGAGAGGCTGGAGTGTGCTGCGTTCATTAGAAATCAAATGGTGCAACAGATATGCAAAACAAGTCGAGTTCTGAATTTTCAGGGATTCCTGGATGTTGGGGAAGCGTGCATGTTCAATGTGGTTCTTTCATTTTCTTAGAGATCTTAGGAAGGATGAAAACTGGACAAAAATATCCAAGAGTCTAGAGAGAGGTAGACATGTTCCCCATATCAGCTCTGTCTGGTTGAACTATAGGCAAGTTGTTTAAACTTTCCATATCACTTCTCTCAAATGAAAACTGTACTTATAGCAGGACCTACATCATAAGTATTTGTAAAAATTATGGGAGATAAAGTACTAAACACAATACTTGTATACAAAGTGCCTTAAAAGTTTTACTACTATTGGTAGCATAATATTATTTAATTACACAATAATCTCAGCATTAATTAGTCATGTTGTTCTTTTTTTTTGGTGTTGTAGATAGTGAGTTGAATTTCCTGATAGACACTAGTTTAAAGATCAAATATTCAGATACTAACAAGGGCTGAGCAGGTAAAATAGGAAATCAGAGAGAGTCTGAGAAACT